TTATTTTAATTTGACTTGCGCTTATTGGCCACCGTACCTTCCAATTACAAAGAAGACATTATAGCTACTAATTTCCAACCACAAAATTTTCCAAAATAATTAAATATTTAAACAGATAATGAGTCGAAGGTATCATTGTAAACTAATCTTTTTATCCTATAAATGCTAAGAAATCACAATGTCTACAGCTTTAAATCCCTATCTGATGTAAAAGAAGACATTACAGCTGGTAATTTCCGACAACATTTTTCAGGGTTAAACACTATCATAGCAAGAACCTTTATAAAACATTGGAGTACTGAAAATTCAGTTTACGACCCAACGAGTTCGAAATATTTCCCTAATATACAAATATTCTACTTTACGCTCGGAACTAAAAAAGTAACATGATTGGCGAGGATGCTATTCTAATTTAATCGGCTCCATGAGGGAGGTTCATAAACATAGTTGACGGTAATTAGGAGTTGTTTTCATCAACTTGGTTTCCAGTAACATCAAAATCGTTCTCAGCGGTGTGTCAATGGTGGTGTGTTGGCCGCTTGATATTTTTCAACTGTCTGGATGATCTACGAGTGCAAAATTTAAACAAAATAATTTTTCGTTAAAAGTAAGTTAGAGAGCTAAAAAACAATTTTTCTTTTCACATATTTATTATCAAAGAATGCTATAAAAAGACTACAAAAAGGCTTGACTCAGGTGAAAAAACTGCATCATAATTTGTAAAATGAAATTGTATGGCATAAAACTGCTAAAATGTCACAGATTTTAGATAGTTTACTGTCTTACCGTTACACAAAGTAACTCGTTGTTTTCTTCTGGATGCCGTCGAATGTGATGGCGACAAGCATCCTAGTTAATTGAGTTCCTCTTCTCGATCTGCTCTTTTGCAATTGGTGACATATTGGAGCGTCAAATTGTTGTCTGACACCTTCTGTCTTTGATAGGGCGTTTCTTCCCAACGCAGAATTTTTTAAGAAGTACCAGGGCCAGTATGGCGGCCACGATAGTAATTTTACAAGTGGTTGATGTTTCGACGTCGCAATTAAACTCCATTGCGAAAGAAAAGTGAAGCTCAAATGAGCTTGTACCTACACAATGATTGGTTTCACGCAACGACGTCTGAGCATATAGGTAGCTAGACGTTCCTGGTGTAGTTAAACCTAAAAATCAAAGTTCATTTCCTTGTTCTACCACCTGCTTGGCATGCACTATCAAGATCACCTTATTTGGTAAAAATAATTATTGTTAATGTTTAAATTTTAATAGCAGCCTCATTTAATTTTAATTGAATGATGGTGGTTATCAAAACTATAAAGGTTAGATGAAGCCAAAACGAAAAACGCTTTGCCAAATAGTGCATTTCATAATCTTTTCATTTATATATAGTCTCCGTTGGTTGTGTTTCAAATAGCCCGTTGACTTTACTTTCGCGAAGGGGAACCATGACATCTTAGTTTCCCATTTTGTCGCTAATTAGCATATGTGTTTGTAAATCAACAACCACGGGATGTTGATTTACAAAGAGGTTTGGCACATGCACAAAGAAAATAGTAATAAAGATTTTCAGTGCAGTCCCAAATAATACTTTATTTTGACAATTTTATCCTCAAAAGATAAAGAATAACTGAAAAAGGTATGAGATTCAATTCCTTCCCATTCGGTCAATTTGTGGAACATGCAAATTGGTTACGTGGAGGGGTGCAGTTTTTCTCACTTTCGTTCTGTTCCGCTCCAGATGTTCCAGTCGCATAAGTGATTCATAGATGTTTTTAAAATATATTCTCCGTTTATTGTGATGCACAATAAATGTATCACACCTTTTGCTGTTCATTACGAGAAAAGAGACAAAAAAAAAAAACCATCATTTCCGCGTAAACCAGATTTAATAGAGATTTTTGTATTTGATCAGCATTCAATAACAATTTTGGGTACTCTTATACGTCATTCTTCAAATAAAAGAAACATACATTTTCATTTGCGCTAACATTCGAGTCATTCAAACCATCGATATCTTGAAAGTCAACAGCTTTAAATCAGTATCTGATGTAAAAGAAGACATTACAGCTGGTAATTTCCAACCATAACATTTTTTCCAAAAGTTAAATATTCAAAAAGATAAGGACGGTCTCAGGCAAGGTTAGACAATATCATAGCAAGAACCTTTGTAAAACATTGGAGTACTGAAAATTTAGTTAACGACCCAAAGAGTTCGAAATATTTCCCTAATATACAAAAATATTCTACGTTACTCTCGGAACTAAAAATGTAACATGATTGGCGACGATGCTATTCTAATTTAATCACCATTAATACAGGGGGTTCATAAACATAGTCGAGGGTACTTAGGAGTTGTCTTCATCAACTTGGTTCACATCAGAATCGTTCTCAGCGGTGACAATGTTGGCCGCTTGATATTTTACAACTGTCTGGATGATCTACGAGTGCAACATTTAAACAAGATAATTTTTCGTTAAAAGTAAGCTAGAGAGCTAAAGAACAATTTTTCTTTTCACACATTTTTTCTTAAAGAATGCTATAAAAAACAACAAAAAGGCTTGACACAGGTGAAAAAACTGCATCATAATTAGTAAAATGAAATTGTATGGCATAAAACTGCTAAAATGTCACAGATTTTAGATAGTTTAATGTCTTACCGTAACACAAAGTAACTCGTTGTTTTCTTCTGAATGCCGTCGAATGTGATGGCGACAAGCATCCTTGTTAATTGAGTTCCTCTTCTCGATCTGCTCTTTTGCAATTGGTGACATATTGGAGCGTCAAATTGTTGTCTGACACCTTCTGTCTTTGAAAGGGCGTTTCTTCCCAACGCAGAATTTTTTAAGAAGTACCAGGTCCAGTATGGCGGCCACGATAGCAATTTTAGAAGTGGTTGATGTTTCGACGTCGCAGTCAAACTCCATTGCGAAAGAAGAGTGACGGCTCAAATGAGCTTCTATCTACACAATGATTGGTTTCACGCGTCGAAGTCTGAGCATAGAGGCAGCTAAACGTTCCTGGGGTAGTTAATTGAACCTGNCGTATTTTTTTCCCGCGAACGGCAGAGAGGGTCACGTGACCTGACATTTCCCGCGTTTGCCGTTTGCCGGCCGCCGTTTCTACTCGAGGAGGACATTTTTCCCGTTTGTAGGGAACGCGAAAACGTGAGTATTTGCAGCCCATTTTTACCGACTATTTCTACATTTTGATCGCTTGCTTTTATAGCTAAGCTTCGTTTATCATCTTACTTCTATATGAACTGCTTGTAAAGCTAATAGAGTTCAAATTCAAGCGGAAAATACATTACTTCTTTGTATCCATTATTTCTAGTCGCAGTGAATGGCGACCGAGAACATTTGTTCTGCCGTGTCGTCGGGAAGCTTAAACAGACGAACATCGCGGACGGAACGGCAAACGACAAACGGCTAGCCGACGTTCAGCGTTCGCCGTTTTCGCGGTGCTTAATCTAACTAAACATTTCTATCCGTTATTTTTTTAACAACCTTACTGTGATTTTAAAGCAATTAATTATCGTTATTTTGCGAAACATCAAGAGAAATATAGATACAACAAGCCCACTTTTTTTTGCATACACCATCGTCAGTATTTTAATGCACTAGAAAAAGAAAGCCATCGAGTTTCATCACTGATATTCTTGATGAAAAATTTCGTTCAGGATAAGAAAGAGATCGAAAAAATAGATGATCAAATAGCTATTGTATCTTCATCAATTCACGCATTATATTTACCCATTGAAAGGCAAAACATAGGAAAAAATAAAACGACTAAGAGTCGTTCAAAATTTTCTTTACCTTTTGTTTGCGTCCGTCTACTTCGAGATAAATGGTTTTGAGACTTGCCGATGCTTTGCCGCCTGAAACTCCATTCCCCATGTTGAAAGGAATTTTTTCATCTATTTTCAGTTTGGTATCTCGTAACCCGCTCCTTTAGTAATTCTTTTCCTTACGTGAACACGATTTGGCTAACGCCGTCCTTAGTAACCATGTCATATTTCTCTGTTTCCAACAGCAACTAAAAAAACTTAAAATCCTGACAGAAATTGCATAATTACCATTGCATAACAGGTTCCGACGGCGAAATAACTCTTATTCATAAATATGTTCAAATTATTGTCCCAGCAGCTGTCAACGTGGAGGTGTTCCGATCAATCTGCCACTGAACACCGTAATTATGCATGACGTATATCGAGAAGCTGTATATGGAAATAGAGAGGGTAAAATAGAATGAACTAGGCAGAATCAAGACTTCAAGACTTTCCTCAAACGAAGAACTAAACAATAAAATCCAGAGTGGCTTAATAAACAAGCACACGTAAACTGGGTAAAAGGCTTCATACCTTTATCATATAAGGGTCATTATTACTGAATTGTGATTGGTCAAGACAGAGGGCATTTTTCCTTAATTTTTGTAATTGCTCTAGGCAAAATTACTCGAAAATGATTGGCTGAAAATCGCGTAGCAACGGCTGCCAAGGTAAAGAAATTTCTGTTTGTTTTGTAACAATGGCGTCCCGTTTTGCGCGAGATCAGTAAGAAAACATTTTGCCCCTAATATTATTAAACAAGTAATCACATGGTTCCTCGTACAATTAAGGATTAGTATCACGTGTTTTCGGAAGTTGCAGAAATTTCCCGAGTCGCGCAGCGACGAGGAAAATTTCAGCAACTTCCGAAAACACGCGTGATATTAATCCTTAATTTTACTCGGCCCCATGCGATTACCTATACTAAAACATAATTCAAAATATTTATCATTAATTATAACAAGTTAACGTCCTTTGTTACAATTTCTCAATGTTCACAGAAATGATCGCAGGGCTACTCCTTCCAACTGTATTAACCAAAATAAGTATTTATTTATTTATCAGTAATTGTTAAATATGCCGTTCATAAAAATGATCCCAAACAAGTACTTCACGTAACATACCCGTCCGAATTCTGAAACCCATATTGCTTTCTGTCGAACTGTGAAATATATGCTCTTTTACTTATTATTTAGATAAGTTGAGACAAGAAAAAATATTCTTGGCCAAGACAATATTTGTGGACTGTCAACTCTTTTATTTGTTTTTTTTCTTTTTTTTTTTTAACCAACATGGAGCGAGAGCTATTACCTCAAATAGATTGGGAAAATAAGAGAATGGCTGAGACAATGTGTGTTGTACTGGAGGCGAAACACAGTATGTTTTTCGGAGTTTCGGCTCGGTCCTTCACCGTCTAAATAACAATTTGACAGGGAGAGTGTACCCATTTATGGGTTTGGTTCCTTTCAAACTCGCAAGACCGTACAAAACCAGACTACAAAGATGTACTACGATGTAACTAGTTCTACAATGTAGTCTACGATATTTGCGAACTGAAATTCGAACTTCTGTCATTCAATTCTCAGCCAAAATTCGGTCTACCATTAGCTGAGCGTTATAGATACAGTCATTTACGCTAACACCATTATACGAAGATCCGATCAGAGAAAGTGGTAACTTGCGTTTCTTAATGAAGTCGAATATGTTTCTCAAACGATTCGAATGACCTAAGGTGTATTGAGGTATACAGTCATGTTGTACAGTGGTTAAACAACTCGTCGGTTTAGTTCGGATGCCGAGCGTTTTTTCGGCAGCTTCTTCCGCGACGTCTTGTACATGACTGGGGTCTACAGAGTTTGGATCTCCAAATAAGGAATTGAACCAGTGACCTCCCATCATGACCTGAAAGGTAACAGAAAAGGGATGGATTCAAAATAAGGAAAGAAACGAAGTTCATTGTAAATGGTAGTAGTGGTATCATTATTATTATCATAACTATCATCATCATTATCATTAATATTACAACTCTACTATTACCACTATAATTATTATAATTACAATTACAGACAAAGGGGACCAGCAGGGAGAGGTCCTGGTTCGAAACCTGAGTTTATTGTGTTATGTTGTTAGGCAAGGAACTCTCTCGCCACTCCACAAACAATTGCTATTTTTAAGGGTATACTGCAAGCTGATACTATAATATGCACCTTCTTGGTTTCGAAAGTGGCACGAGGTTTTCTGACGAATTGAAGAGCGTAGTGAAGTGAAACCAAAGTCAAGCGAACTAATTTTTTTCACAAAAGTTTCAAATTGCTCCTTTTAAGGGTATACTGAACGCAGATACTTAAAAACGACCTTACGCAACGAACAATTTGCCTTACAGTTAATCGTGTTGTCTTTCCTCCGGGTCGATCATTTTCAGGGAAGGCGCAAGAGTCAAAGATAATCCCGAGAACTTTCAGTGGTTCAGAAGAAGGAGCTAAATACCCAAACCCCTCGACGGGCACTACATTTCCTTCGTATTCAAGATTGACCACAGCCACTGTTGTACTGTTTATATTCTTCAATTCCGATGTTAATTCCTAGCAGTCTTCGGGTAAAATATTTGCGAGTTTCTCAGCTGGTATGCCACTCATCACGTGATCAATCGTTAGTTCCTCATTAGGCCATGCTACCGTCAGTCTGCCGTCAGAGTTAAAGTTCACAGCTGTACAAGGTGAAGTCATTTTGACGTTCACTCCCCGCTGCAACAATTCTTCGTGTAGTTTGTCAGAGAGTGTCTGCAAACCACCCTGAAGTGACCAAGTGCTCCATCGTTCCTCCTTAGCTCTCTTTGCTAAAGGACTCATAACAGAGGGGTCAGGGACTAAAATGAAAGGAAGACGGGTCACTTTTTATTTGCAATCTGCTTCAATCATTTCCATTCCTAACCACTGAGAATTGGTGAACTTTATGTTTATTTTACAGAAAGAAACACATCGCTCGTTTCCAAGAAGGAAAACTAAAGATACGTCATGGTTCTCGTTTGCGAGAAAATAACGATTTACCTCTCTGGTGAGCTCCAACCATGACGGAAAAGCCTCCATTTTTTTAAATGTACGCCCAAGTTACATGTGAAAATATGTACAGGAAGGATGAACACTACACAATGACCTTAAAAGTTTATGACCTTAGTTAAAAGGTCTCCAATCTTGAGGGGGGGGGAGTGAGATGGATCAACTATAGTTAGAAGAGGGTCGCTTCTTCTAGATTCTAACAGCCTTCCCTCTGAAATGTAAATGCAGGTACCTTCTTTCGTAAGAAATGCTCCTTTGATTATGGAACCATGTTGATTCTCATACTGATACACAGCAGGAAAGCATGAGGAAAGGCTCAGCAAACGAGAGTCGCCAGCAAAAATGCCTCTGCAGAGTGGATCACTGAGATACTCTGCTACCTTGAAAGCACAAATAAAGCAAAAACACTCAGCCAGTAAAGATAAGTATCCAAATTCATGGTAAAGGTAAAAAAATCCGATCCTACCGACGCGTTGGCCAACGTGTTGGCCAACGCTGTTTTGATTTGACTTTGGGGCAAATTCATCTGTGATAAACTGTGACAGCCTTTGTTCAAAGATCAAAACTTAAGATTCAAATACGATGTGAAAAATGAAAACTAGCACACTGTGCAAACCTCTTCATTCATCCGTCTTTTAAAGAAATTATAAATGCTTTCATCCTCGTGATCTTGCTTGCCTCTTACAAATGGTTCTCTGATTATAGTAGGTAATAACGATTTAGAAAACAAAGATTGTCTTTTTATTATTGATATAACTCCAGAAGGAAGCTGATGCAGTTTTTCACGGGAGTAAATAAATCTGCTCCTTGCTGCAGGATGACTTGAAGAAACGGAGAGAATACTTTTCTCCAAGCCCAGATCGTGAACCTGTCCAAAAAATACAGAAGAAAGATCATTTCGTGCATATGAA